GGGCAGGTCAGGGGACTGTGATGGGGGCGGGGGGAGGCTGGGGTAGGGGATGGGGAGATGGGGTGGGGGCAGGTCAGCAGACGGGGGAGGGGTGTGGGGGCAGGCGGCGGGCAGCACACGCACCCGGTAACTCCCAGTAGGCCGGGCAGCGCTGTAGATATAGGAGGGCTGGAGGACAAGAGCAAATGGCAGGTTTTAAAAGCCTTGAGAAAACAGCAACAAATACTAGTGACAAGAAAATAACGACGTTTTCAAGTGCTGACAGCCAAATTATTGCCCAACGGTTAGAAGAAAAAAGAAGTCAATGCAGGGCCCATGTTTCAGTACATCAATAGATGCAAATCCAACTTTTAAAATGGCCACGGTCCCCAGGATCTCTGAAATAGGACTATTTTCTAGTCGCTTCTTTCCAGGCGTTCCCGGAGGAAAGGGCTAGGGAGTGAGACAATGGTGACAGGGTGAAAACGCCACAGGCAGCCACCAAACCCACAACTCAAAATCCCAGGTTAATAACGCACTCAGGGGTGTTAATGCATAAAGTTCCACGCAGGGGGAGCGCGACGGAAATGGTGCTTTTCTTTCCATCACGTGATCCCAGTCACGGTCATGAGGACCCAAAAGGAGCTGCCGGCCGGTGCCGGCCGGTGAGGTCTGGCAGCCCCCTGGGTCAGAGGACCCGGACCCACAGCACGGATCAGGCAGAGTCGTGCCCGGGTGGGCAGGTGCCAGAGCGAAGGGCAGCTCCTGGAGCAGCCGGGCCCTGGGTCCAGAACAGGATCATGACTCATTTGTAGGCAGAGGCCACGTAAGCCCGCAGTCCAGGGCCACCAAGCCAGTCAGGGATGTGCATGACCAGGGGTGAACCGCTCAGCAGCTCAGGGAGATGACAGTTCAACCTCCACAGCGTGATCTGTCCCGGACTCCGACACCGAGATCCTCGTGTGAGAACGGGACTCATATGCCTACAGCTGAAGAGGCCGGGCCCCTCAGGGCCTGACCCGCACACCGGCCTTGGAAAAACAGGAAACAGGGGCGACTGAGCCAAAGAGAATATCCCCGTTCTCCCACTTCTCAAAGATGGAGGAGTCAGATTAAGCACAAAAGCCTTCCAAATTGCTTCCTGGACACATTTACAAGAGAAAAATATTTTTGAAGAAACAAATGAAACCCCAAATGGGGAACAATTGCTGGAAAAGGAGGAGAGACCCAAGAGACCAATTCTTTGAACCTGAGCTTTTGGAAATATACGTTTAATAGAGCCTCCTTTTTCCTCAATTCCCTTTTTTCTATATAAGGTCGCAGATTATTCTGATAATGTTTTAAAACGCTGAGAAAAATCTTAGCAAGTTAGTCCAGACAAATAAAACGCCTGCTGAACTCTGGTGTCTGGACTTCAGATGCAGGAGGTTGAAGTGTCCTCATACCTTTGCTCGGAAAGTGAAGGGACATACGCAGAAGCAAAGAGGGAGGAAGCGGGTGACACGGAGAACAGACCCGGTTTCCACTCTGGGCAGACAGGGGTTTGGGAGCAAGGCCAGCACCAGGAAGCCCGAGGTCGGAGCAGGACAGTCCCTGTAATCAAAAGAGAAAATGGGCGGGAGGGGGAGAAGGGCTCACAGCTTCGTTTCACCTCAAATGTCCAACGGTATCGTAAATTCACACAAATCTGCTTTTTTACAACAAAATCGGTAAAGGGCATGCACTTAATGGAGCAGGGAGAAAGCAGGATAGTCAGAAGGAACTAAAGACAGTCTAGTTAATCGACAAAACTGTGACGTGGGGCTGGATCAGGAGTTCTGAGTCGACATATAGGCAAAATTAGATTTCATTAATTTTAATTGATAGTGAGACCATCAGGGTTTTCAAGGTCTGTGTAACTGAAGCTCTAAGTTTTAAAGTTTGGTGGGAAAAATTCAAAACTAAGAATCAGCAGAGATATCAACCTTTATGTAATAAAATATTTCAGTGGACATGATCTCTGGCGTGGCTTCCTTAGGTACTGACGTGATGCGTGTGCGTGTTCAGGATTCACAGAGGACAGGATAGATTCAGTGTCTAATTCTGAGACCAACAGTCTCTCAACATTTCTGGGAAATACTACGGTATCCATGGTTTCCCCAAATAAAATGTTCTATCCATATTAAAGCCTCCTCGAGAAGGAAGCCAGCAACTTCAGGCTGCCCAGCAATGTTCTACCACGCGTACAAGCATGGGGCAGTCCTTGAAGGTGAAGTGGTTCCCTTCCAGGAACCTGACGGCCCCTGAAGATATCCCGCCATCCCTTCAAGGTCCCAAACTTGTGCCTGTCATTCCTCTCTCTGGCATAAGCTACACCCATGTGACCTGAGGGGCCAGCAGGTGGAACTCTGCGGGGGGGGGGGGGGCGGCAAACAGAGAGAAACTTTCTAATGTTTCCCACAAACACTGAAACTTGTTCCAGTGGTTGGGAGAACATTCTGTGTAGAAACCATTTTGTCCACCCCTCTGGGGGACATGGAAAGCCCACGACACGGGTGGGGGAGAAAGCGCCCACAGCTGCGGCCGTCATGCCCAGGGTATGGGTCTGACAAATCCAAAAAGACTGGAGAAATATGTAGAAGAGTCTTCAGTACTCCATACAACATTAATACCTTTCTGTTTTTATATTTAAATAAAATCAAACAAGCCTGTGTGTTGTGTAGGAATAGATATACCTACAGAGCATGATAATTACCAGAAGATTCTGCGGGCCGCTGAGTAAGATAAGATCTCAGGAAGAACAAGGGTGGGGACATGCGGCCTCACGAAAGTTCTGATGTTTAATGTTTGGAACGGATCCACTCTAATTTTGACTTTAACGCTCTGAATGTGGGTTATATCTCTTAAATGAATTTAAGTGAGTCAGAGACATGCTTAACTTTGGTGAATAATTCACATCTGCGTATTAGGTACCTCTCACCATCTTCTACTTTAGAGCAAGTATCTCAGCTCGGAAAGTGAGGAGGAAGTAAAGTTTTCTGAATGAGAAAGTGCTCTTTGCAATAGCAAATCTCCCACCAAAATACACACAACACACAAAAAATTCAAGATGGTGAAACTCACCAATAGTTGGTGCTTACAGCAGATCTGATGATATGCAGTCAAAATTCACCTACTGGCGGAAGAAGGGATGGGGGGATGTCCCCCATTTTGTCCTATACGTCCTATATGAGGCTGGGAGGCACCAGTGGGAGTTTGGAAAGTGGGCAAGCAAGCTGATGGGGAGATGGAGCTGCCAGCCACGCCTGGAGCCCCCCGCAGCAGGGGTGAAAAGGGGGAGGGGTGAAGCATGACAAAGGAGGGTGGAGCTCCACCTGCTTAGTTTCTATTTATTTTCTTCCTATGTATTCTTCATGATTCAGTTCACATCCTTTGTTACGACACTTACTTCTCCCCATCATCCTACTGCCGCTGCACCAGTCTATCTGCTAGGTGGGTCTGTCTTCTACTCTAGAAGTAAATGCTTCCAGAGTACCTACCTATCTCACCTGTTTATCTTTGTGATCCTCCTACCTGAATTAGTTCCCTAGTGTTTGCTGAGTGATTATGAAACTTACCTAAAACAAACAAGCCTTACCTATGATAAAGGGCTCTTAAATAATTTAGAAATATTTGTGCCTGTCGAGATTGATGCATGTCCTTGAAGTACGGGAAGGAACCCTGTTGTGCAGACATTTGGATTTGGTCTGATTTCCATTCCTAGTACATCCCTGAGAAATTGCCACAAAGTTTGCATGTACCCTACAAAGTAATTGTTTTCAGGAACGCTCAAGAATTACAAGGTTTTTCTTATTTTTTCCCCTTTTGATTACTTCTGACTACAAAATATCCACATGAATCCTTTCTTTCCTGTGTCCAACTGAATGCAAATATGATTCAAGTGCAAGATGGGGGGGGGTAAGCCTGAATTAAATGTATCATGTTAGTTACTGCTCAAAAATGGACTTTAACATCCATCCAAATGAAAATTCATAAAATAGGTGTTAAAAATTAAAAGAGAGCTGAGTTCACACACAAGATGGCATGCTCCAAAACCTGTGGTTTCTGAAGAGAGGGTGTGAAAGATTTAAATGAGAACCAACCAACGTCTCCTCTCTGGATGATGACAAAGTAGAGAATCTGCCCTCACCGCTGTAGCTGGAATTCTGAGAACCAAAGAAGACATGGTAAGTGGTGAGCACTTTCTTACTGTCCCCAAAGCACTGCCTGTCCCGGTCAAAAGGCAAATATAAAATGACCAAACCAGTATTAGTACTCCAGGAACACCAACGTAGTGTAAGAATCAAGACACTCTGCTACGGCAGAAATGCTTACCGACTAGAAGTTCTAGGCTACAGTTTACATTTCAGTGTCTGTATCTTGGCAATGTCCTATGGTTTAACTCTTACTGGTTCTCACAATTTTTCATCTCTAGTATTACTTGTAATTACTTACTAAATCTCATGATGAGGCGTCTATCACCTCCCAACGTGGACTTTCCTTATTACATACTCTCTTAGGGAACTAAGATTACGTCTGTGGCAAGATTTTCAATCTTTCCTCAGCCCAGCACGTGAAGGCTTCAGCTCTCCCAAAACTGGGGTGGGGGGAGCTGCAGCCTGAGAGGGTCACCCCCAGAACGCAGAGGACTGCAGCCATCCTCAGAGTGACCCGGCATCTACTTTATCAAGATCAGAGTCTGCATGGAGAAGCTCTGCGGTTCTTCAATCGGTATATTTCCTGATTGTTTATTAAATCCATTTTATGTGCAATTTTACTTTGTGGTGAACAATTTTATAATCAAGTTCTTTTGCATCTGATGTCTAGAGGCATTGCTTAGATCTTATACCAAATCATAGAGAACATTTTTGCCGTTTGAACGTAAAAATCAAAGATGAAGATATATGGGTGTACGCATGACATAGAGCTTGGTGCTATCTCTTTTGTCCCTGGCGTGCTGGCAGCTACATGGCTGGGATATTCTAGAGAAGAATGATACCAGTGGGTAGAAAGTGGATTACAGAACTTCTATAGTAACTTCCAGCTCTAAACGAGGGTTCCTTACGATCAATTCTGGTGAAAAGTTGCCAATTAGTCAACATAGCCCCAACAAGCTGTCCGGGGCCAGGAGAGAGTACTGCGGCTCCTGTCCTAAAAAGCCGGCAGGGAACAGTCTGCAGGAAAGCTGAGCAGGAAACGCAACTGTCCACGCCCCACAAGCACAGAATGGCATGCTGCTTGGTTCTGCCCCTGGACCACTGCCTTCGCAAAAAACATAATCCAAAGGCCGTCCGTGTAAAAACATAAATAGGAAGATGCAGCCTTTAAACCGGGAGGATTGTTTTAGTTTGGAACGAGAAAAGTTTACGTAAAATGGACGTGTATGCCATCCGTAATAGGACGAGAGGCGAAAAACCTCATCAGCCAGTTTCAGGAAGTTAGATGGGACTGGGTTACCCCTCTGAAACCTGAAAATATAATTCAAGTGTATATATATCTTAATATGATTAAGATAAATTAAAAAGAAATACTATTTGCACAACTAGTAAAATTTACTATAAGGAAAAAAATAAAGCAAATATAGGAATAGGAAGATTTTAGTTAATTTCACGTATAGTAGATCTGCAAGTCATGAAACTTAATTAGAATGTATGCAGTTTCACTTCGTAAAGTCCCCTAAGTCTCCCTGCTAAATCCAAAGCCCTCCCCACTTCTCTTGGACTCTCCTGCCATTGGTCCCTTTCTCCTTTCTCCCACCACAGGGCATTACACTGCTCTTCCACTGCCTCCCGAGCCTGCACTGGGAGCATCCCGTGACCAGTATTCAGGGACACATGGACTCTAAAATACATGTCTTTAAAATGACAAATGAGGGGCGCCTGGGTGGCTCAGTCAGTTAAGTGTCTGCCTTCAGCTCAGGTCCCGCTCAGCAGGAAGCCTGCTTCTCCCTCTCTCCCTGCATGCCGCTCCCCCTGCTTGTGCTCTCTCTCTGTCAAATAAAGAAATAAAATCTTAAAAAAAAAATAAAATGACAAATGAGAGATGGGCACAGAGGGTGAGAATGCTGGAAGTAAGTATACTTGAAAGCTGAATATGCTTAATACAGACGTTATGCACATACACCTAGGGCAGCAAAATAATGAAAGAGCAAGTATTTAATTCAACACATTTTTAAACCTAAGAGATTCTTTTTAATATCGATCTCTTGCAGTAACACTTTGAATGTTAGAAGGCTAACATTCAAAGAATGTTTACCAGTTGAAAAATTAGTTTTCATTCATTTATGGGCTGGGGAGCGGGTAGTGACCCACTATAACAAAGAAAAATAAGCTAAATTTAGCGATATTTTGTTTAAGCTTTGCAGCAACCTGTTGGCATTTTGTGTCATGTAAATTTACTATACTAACCCTGCCAGATCTTCTACTCAGGGACTGTGATCCATAGAAGTCTCCATCATAACCATTTGTCTGTTTCAATGAAGAAAAGAACACTGACATCAGTATACAAATGAAGACACAGGCACCAATCAGCAAGGAAGAATTAGCTGGGTATAAACCGAGCTTTCTGAGTGGAGCAGAGGAACGACAAGCCCAGGATAACACAAATCTCAGCATGCCCCTAGATGCCTCCATGCGTCTGATCCGCTCTATTACGACTCAGGAGAAATCCGAGACAAATCTCGGGACAGGCGGGCTCATCCGATCAGCCCAGGCAGTATTACTTGTAACTACAGGTCACTCTAGGGCTTCTGTGGGGTGCAGCACATGGGCATGGGCGCAGCTGCTTTTGTCGGCAGTTTTCCTGTCTCCAGGTTTGTGACGATGCCACGGAAGTCCTAGCTTTGCAGCAGCCTGAGCGCCAGGAAGCAGGGTCACTACCCAGCCTGCGTCAATCAGGTTTCGGTTCTTGGTTCACAGGTAGGTCCTTGAAAATTATGGCCCACTATGAAGTTGTATCCAGAAGGTTCGGAAATAGCCTCTGTTCAATCTATAATTCAGTGCAAAGGTTCATCATGGAAAAAATGTTTATTGTGGGTGTGTATCCTCTATAGGATCCTCTATAGGAGCTCCTCATTCATCCAGTCTTCCTAAGTTACTTTTCAAAATGAAATCTGAGGCGCATTTCCTGAGTTCCTAATGTGTCCTCCAGAAGAGAGAATGAGTAAGTCTGTGCCCACCTCCCTTCTCTTCCTACCTCTACACCCACATGCCCGCAGCCAAAGCCCAGCCTTTCTAGAATTGGTCTCATTCATCTATAAGGACGTTTCTGCTGATCGAAGACAAGAGCTGCCAAGTGTCAGAGACATAACCCGCTCTAGAGACAGAAAACGGAAAGCAGTCCACACAACTGGTACAACTGCAAGGAGGTGCCAGGGCGTAAGGGAAGGGAGTCCAAATTCCCAATCAGTGCTCTGTCAGGTGACATGATTAAACAGGTTTGCTTAATCCTCTGGCACCTCTACTTCCTCAGCTGTGGAAATGTGCACAGAAATACGTACTTGACAAGGCCACTGAGGGCTAATTCTGATTAAAATGAGTATCCCAAGTGCCTGGAGCAGTGCCCTCCTGAACTGTGTGCTGGCAGGTCCCCAGCACCCACGGGGAACAGGAGCGTGTCCTTGTTCACAGGGTCTGGCGACGGGAGACTGGTTAGCATGTATGTTGCAGCTATGACACTAATGAAGAATAAATCAATTTCCTAGACAGATCGTAAGTCCAGATTCATGAACTCATGACGCTCAAACTACCTATTTAGTTACAACTCAAAAACAAGTCAATTTGAGGCTTCTAAATCAAACAGGAGAGTGTGAAATCCCTCAACTTTAAATTTGAAAACTCTGATGAGTAACGTTAAGACATCTCTGAAATAAATTTGATAGTAAAAAATCCTTGGAGATAGGCAGGAATTTTACTCAATCTACTTCTCTTTCCTCTCTCTCGACCAACAAGACTATCTGAGATGGAAATGTGTGTCAGGGACTTGTAGATTTCAGACCACAGTCTTATTTTTTTTTTTGGTGGCTGTTTAGAGACTTGTTCCTGGGAAAAAATTAATATAATAATAAAGGCTAACATCAATCAATTGTAGATGACTTTGACTCTTCTAATCAGCGAGGAAGTAAAACATACCACATATATAAGCCCCCTGGCTTTCCACAGTTGTTTTATGGACTACATGCTGCTCTAGTTTTAAACCGTTCCTTCTGGTCATCTCACTTTCTATGCCAGCAGAGCAGGGCGAAGGACAGGAGAGCAAGTGCACCCCTCATCTGTCACCGTTTCTCTTCCAGCCTTCTGTGGCCATGCAGAAAAAACTCTCCCTTCACAGGCTCTGTGGACATCCACACTTTCTGTTCTAATGCAATTCTGTCATTGGGAATATATTCCTAGCATGAATTCTCAAATCCATAGGAGCTCACTGACATCCCTATAGTGAAAATGACTTTGACCTCTTAAAGGACACCACCGTTTTCCTCTTGGATAGTTTTTATGTGTTGGATTTGGGTGGGTGGAGCTGTTTTTATATGTAGCCCATAAAAGGATAAGGAGAGTTGAAAATTAACACAGTAGAATAAAAAGTCCACAGATGGTGTATCAACTTCATCTGAAGTCAGGTCTCACAGATGGTCAATTTTCTTTGCTGCGGAGACTGTGTTTTCAACATCCCTTACTGTGCTGACCACGTGCATCATGGTGACCTCATGTGCCCCTGACCTGGGCAGTCAGAACACCTAAAGCTGGGGCCAGGGTATGTGAATCTTACACACAGTTAACACTGCGGAGCACTGCTCTCAGAGAGAATGAAATACATAAGACATTCACAAATTAGTATTTTCTAAAAGAGTGTAAGTAACATACAAGAATGAAAGCCTTATCAACGCCAATGATTCCAGTGGTACCTTGTGATTAGTCAGAATGCTACCAACCACCCTGCCGTTGCTATCAAAGCACCAGCGCACTTCACACTGACCATGCAAGCAAACATCGACTGCTATCTTGTTCGATTAATGATGTTAGATCATTTTTATACTGTCAAAAGATCACATCCAAGGGCAGGAGAGACGGGAAGCAAAATAAGAAAGGCCAAATCAAACCTCTGAAGTACAATATTTGATGCACTCAACTTAGTTTGAAAACAGAATGAAAATGGAAAAGAAAAACAAAATCCAGAACGTATTTCTGACTATTGCTAACACACGTACTCATTCATTCCACCAGGACTGGCCCTTAAGTACAGTTTATTATCAGTTTAAAATAAGAAGGCTAAAAGTCTGGAAATACACTGTGCAGACATTTACTTAAGAGAACAAAAGAGCTGCTAGAACGGAGTTACTCTGAAGTGCTGTGGGAAATTCTGTGAAGGGCACTTCCTGAATCTAGTTTCGTGCCTCTGTGCCTTGCATTCTCCACGGCGGATCTATTGCTCGCCAGTGGCTGAGGCCAAGACCGGGCTGGAATGCCCGGCTCCTCCGTGGCCACCAGTTTCTGTCTGTAAAGCGGTGAACTGCAGCCCTTCCAGGAGGCTCGGGGGGCAAGTGTGTGGTGCAGAAATATGGCACTATTCATTACTGTCTTCAAGGTAAAAACTACATTTTAACAAAAAGTTGCTAAGTAATTTTCAAAGGCAGTGGAATGAATGAAGCACAAAATGCTTTCAGAAAAAGTCCTAAAACATGAAGTAGTGCATAATCTGCTATATCACTTCAGTGCAGAGGCACTTTATTGCTCATTTCTGGCGAGATTCAATTTCTCTCCTTTTTGGTGTCATTTAAATGTACAGGTTTTCAGATGCACAGGTTTTTCTGTGCAAACGGTGCAGATAGACAGATGTAAGAAGGGAAGTTCCAAATCAAAATCTAAAGATTTCGTTTTTGGTACCGGAACCGAAGTTTTTCTAAAACAGCACTTTTTGGCAAAGGAGCCAAATTGCACATTTAATTTGAATGGATGCAGATTAAAAAATAATGGATTTTTCATTAGAGAAAATGACTTTGACTTTAATCTCTTGAAAGGAAATGTAGAAGTTTTGGGAATTCTTGATTTGAGTTCCTTGAAAGCAAGACACTCTAGTCCTGTCTTGGTACCCACAGCTGTTAGCACAGCGTGTGGCAGACAGCTGGTACTCGAAAACCGCGTGGCGAGTGAGTGTGTTCAAGCATGGAGCCTGACCCTGAGGATCAGAGACACACCCAGGGGTCTCTGCAAGAAGAACGCTCACTCTGGTAGGTACAGCTGCCCTCCAGCCTGCGGCACCCCCCCAGGGGGCCTGGTGCACAGCATGTGTGTCTTTCTAGACAAAGACAGACTTGGCTTTTTGGACAAACACACCCACGAGATTAGTGGAAACACCATAGGTTAGTCCCCATCACACAGCACTATTAGGATCACGCCTCAACACCTATCCGACCATCTCACCCAGGCATAAGGACCCCCATACTCCAAGTCAGGCTGCGACTGTCAGCATGAGGGTGGAAGAGGAAAAGAACAGAAAACAGTTGCCAAAATCAATTACAAAGCGAACCCAAATGTCAGAAAACATAAAGCAAAACCCAGGTAATCTTGAAATCGTGAAAAATTACATTTTTATATGCCTTCCAGGATCTCACGTGTATTTACAAAAGGAATCACATTAGAATGACAGCCATCATAAAATCCAGTAACATTAAATAAAATTTGCATGGCAAATGTTGCTATAATTCATGAAATCTGAAGCAGTTTGAGCAATCTTACTTCCTCCTCTATAAGATACATTCTATTTATATTAGGCAAAATGTGAACACATACATCACTATCAATTTTTAAATAAGAAAAATTAAAATCTTATGATATCCAAAATCTAGGTTTACTGAGAATGCCCATGCAAACACTAGGAAAGTAAAATTTCCCCCCATCTTTAAGGGTTTACTCGCTGCCAGTTGAATGAAGAAGGCCTGTATTTTGAGAATGTCAAGAAATAAAAGATATGATCTTTGAACTTTACAAACTAAAGATTTCAGAATATTAACATATATCAAAGCAGAACACACTGACCCTGCATAGGGAGTGTGTGAAAGGAGGTTCCTCTCTGCAGGGCAGCTGGCCCACCAACGAACAGAGGCCAGAGCTCCCAGGCCCCTGAGGGCTTGGGACTGATGCTGTCACCTCCTCACTGCTCTGTGCCTGTCCTGAACCTGTCAAAGTTATGAGGTCTTACTCTTACTCCAGGATCCAAGTTCTCAAGGTTTAAAGTATTATTTCTTTAGGCCAAGTATATCATGGGAAAAATAGTGTAGGAAACCACCTGGCTAAACACAAGAATCCTGTCCACTGTTGATTTTCCACTTTCTGCTCCTCTCTTATTTAATGTCCAGATTGTGGGCCTCTTCTATAAAATTTTATACCTTAAAACAAATATGCTGGAAGTCTTGGCAGAGAATGGTGACTAGCAAAGAAACTTAACTCATGTCTGGTTAAAATCATTGAAAATGAAATGAATGCTATAAACAATGATTTTAATAGTTTTAAACTCTTTGGGGTCAGGAATCTTTCTGAGGATCTTAGGAAAGGGACAAGTTCTTTTCCCAGAAAAATCCAAGTACACACAAAATCTTGAATACAATTTCAGGAGGATCACAGATCTGAAAATGGATACTGTGATAGATTTGGATTCTGTGTCCAATTTCTCTGCTGTTCTCTCCTGAGCCTGCATTAATCAGATTTTGTTCTCACCATTTCCACCAAAAGTTTCCTTGTCAAGGTCACCGACGTCCTCCATGACGCTAAGGCCAGTGGTTGGCCCTTAGTCCTACGCTCCCTTGACCCCTCCCCTCCTCCTGAAAACAGTATCTTCTTCTCTTGGTTTCAAGGACTCAGCCTTCTCCTGCACCTGCTCAACATCTGTCATTTCTGTGTCTCTGCCACAGATTCTGCAAACTGAGTTTTGCATTTATAATGCTTTGGTTAAATGTTACTTCCTCTAGCTTGACTCTTGTCAGAGACAAGATCTTTGAGGAAGTTATGACCGTATGGCTAAGGGGAAAGTTTCAGAGAGCAAGGAAGCTCTTCAACTGATTTCACATCTGAACCGTTACTTTCTGGCAAAATCACTATGATCTGCTCTGGGCACTGCTAAGACCATGACAATGATTGCTCGACAGAACGACAACACGTTACCTTTACACTTACTGTTGTGAAGCCAGATGAAATGCACATTCACGGTGCATATATGAAGTCTAGGTTTAATTGTCTAATTTAATTGTCATGGTGATCAAAAACAAGCCTTCTGCTCTATACACTTCTTGAGCGAAACAGATGGCTGCATTGAGACCTACTTCCTGCCAGCAGTGACAGCAATTGTAACCCGGTTGTAAATAAAACTGACAAGCTCAGAGTAATGTACTGACTTTAAGAGCGAAGCAAAACACAGTTTCTCTACTTCACTTCCCAAGGCATGCAATGTTTTCAAGTCTCATTATGGAGATTTGGGGAATATTTAAGGAAAAATATGTATTTGTCTTTGTCAACCATCAAGCTGTCAGTGATGAAGAGATTTCATCACAGTTGACCAAAGGTTAAGACTCCTGAGGGTGAGCAGTCCTGGGGCTCATGGATCCAGCCTGTGCTATTTCCCACCAGGCAGCCTACAGCAGCTTTCAAGGAGCTACGCAAAAATAGCACTGAAGAACGGTTACTTTACCTGAGATGCAAATCTGACTGGGAGCACGTATGCCAATAGACCCCTTCATCACAGCAGCATCGCCAAGAAGCTTAATCAAGGCATGGCAGTGCTGTGATGTGGAGAAATATACAGACATTATGATGTCCACTCTTGGGAGAGAGACACAACAGAGGGCCCTATGCTTATCAATAATCTCTCTGCAACACAAGGAAACACCCCACCTGTGATTAGATTTCAAATGAGCCGCTTCTCAGACAGACTCTGGGGTAATGAATAGGAAATGTGAACGCAGGGATACAGCACAAGGATGGCCAACCGTAAACTGTACCATGCAAACCCAATCATTCTGGTTACTGACCCTCAGACTTCCACGACTACCCACTGACATGCGCTCATCTTCATCAGAAGCCTAGTAAAAGAAAGGATGAAAACAACCATGAAGCATAATATAAAGAAACCCATGTCCAGCTTTCAGAGAGATGCGGCCGATCTGACACCACAGCAGTGGGGCAGATCAGGTGCCTCTGGAAACCTCAGGGGACGTGAGCCTACGTCTTCCCCAAATGGGCCTTGTGTGTGCACCTCTGTTTACAGAGGGCTGTTTTTAGGATGCTACCGCTTCAAGTTAATTTCACCGAAGTGGTGTTATTTACTTTGGGGGTAATCTACAAACACAGAGCCTCAATGCATATCACTCTGCAAATTATTTGTGGGTATTGGATAGCAAAAGAGCATTAAAGCTGTCATGAATATATATTAATACTCAGAAATTTCCCATTCTCCCCTCACAAAGTTAGGTCAAAATGCTAGAAGTCGAGTCCACAATCTTTGTTTAGATAATAGTATCAATAGTAGTTAGTTTCTTTCATAATCATCACTAAGGTATATCTGATTCATGTATTTCAGCCACTACAACTATAAATTAGACTTCAATCAAAGTGAACACAGTACTAACCGATGTGTTTCTTCTGGATCTACGCGAATAGCGCTCACTGTCTTCCTACCAAAGCAATGGAAGAAACAGTATTAAAGGTCAGATACAGACAAAACAGAAGCCATAGTCTGATTGTGATACAATACGGTATTTCTGATATAAATGTCAAATAAATATTTTCTTTGATGCCATTAAAAAGGCTTCAATTAAACCACTGAGGAAGAATGTTTTCTTTGGGGGGCATGTAAGCACACAAGCAGTTGGCATATTTCATTTTGGCTTTAAAAGTAGGAAAAGATGGGCCTTTGTTTGTCCCTAACCTCTACAATGTGGTCCATTTTAACCAACCTACTTTTCCACCTACATTCAGAACCTTATTCTCTTTCCTTTGGGAATCAGAAGATAAATCATTTCCATAAAAGCTCCAGTAAAGATGTCACCCAATCTACTATATTTTGTGCATTCTGAGACACACACAGTTTTTCACATTTGGATATCTCTGAAGTGGGGGTATATCTTACCATCAAAGTCGTTCACATTAAAATTAGCAGCGTTTTTTTCTTTCTCAGTGGTATAGAAAACAATGAGGCATCTTTTAACTGGGTCTTAAGATTTGATAAACATACATCCACCATGGAAGCTTAAAACGATGGTTTACACATACTAAAGGCTGAAATTAATCATTTCTTTCAATAGAGGAAGTGTATACTGTTCATATTTCAGGAACTATTCTTTCCCGTTCTACACAGGTGTCTAAGATATTAGGAGACAGTTTTACATTTCCTTGGATTATTTATGCATAAGAGACATCGAATATGACATTTCCACACTGGCCAGGTTCTCAGTTGCTAAAAGTATGTGATGATGTTCATAAGGCCATTCAGTAAGTGTCAAGGACAGTAGGAGGTGGGAGGAACTCATGTGGACGAATTAAGGAGAGGAGTGGGTCCACGTTCTTTTGGGGCCAGTGGACAGCAAGGGGAATGCTCCCCCTTCTAGAGCCTCATGCCTGGGGTACCATTTCCTCCTGAGTGTGCTAATGGAGAGCCCTCGGCCTGAGGAGACAGGGCGGGGTGGCACTGGAGACCACCAGCCGCTAGCCTGGAGACTCCAGGAGTCAGCAGCTACTGACCAGACCAGACAAAAACGCCAGCCAGGACCAGTTCTAACCCAGCTTCATACGGATATAAACAATCAGGCCAGATGCAGAAGTCCCTGGAAGAAAATCTCTCAGTATTAAATTACGGTACAGTAGGAATCTATCAATATAATTAAACTTCCTAAGAATCAAATTATAAACTATTTCAGTTTCTTAAAATTGTATTCAAGGCCTACCATCCACTGCTCGATGTCACCCCATTTTGTATCCAGCCCATAATATTTCTATAGACAAAAGGGAAAGAAAATTAGGCAAGACGTCAAACAGTAACCACATAAGATACTGTTCTGACATGCATTTCCAAACTGCTGCCCAAGCCACACGGGGAAGGGAGCATGCCGAGGCACAGCAGTAAATACCACATTCGGGGCTATGCAGGGAAGTGCCTCCAGTGAGGGGAGCCCATGCAGAGAGACCTCCTCATCCCACCCCCTCCCAGGCAAGCTCACTGGGCCAGGGTGGAGCGGAGCGCTGCGGAGCGGAGCTGAAACTTGCCCGTGCAGCCCCTGTGTGAGGCTGTTCAAGCCTGCGGAGCCAAGGTACTCGAGCTGCTACAGCAGCGAGAAAGCCCAGGGGACGGGGAGAGAGTGCGTGATGACTGACCCCTAGGTTTCTGGTGCCCTTGATCCAGCTATCTGATATCTACACTAAACTTAGGCCCATGATAATTTATGTTCTTCGGATGTCTTCATAGCATGTCACTGATGGAAAGATGACTAAGTGGCTAAGAAGGGGCTTGGAATAGAAAAAAAATTTATGGTAGCAGGTTATATTTGACATTTTCTTTAGCAATTGCCTCCATGTTTTTACCTTGCTTGTCTCAGCCCCGGTGGTCCAAGTTAAAATTAGAAAAGCAGATTCAGAATGGCTACTGCCCTTACTAAATATAGTCATTCCCAAGATAGGCAGGAGCCCAAGTCTAGTCTCCAATAATGGGGTTTTGCATTTCTTCTCACTTTTCCCACAATTCCAATAGAAAAAGCAAGGGATGACCAACCAAAAACCTCCATATCATCTAACACAGATGTGGTTTTCCTCTTTATACGTTAAAACTTCATAATCAGAAAAAATATTAGATGCTAGAAGTCCAAGACACGTTTTGAAGTTGTTTTCTAATTGCCAAAACATGCTGCTATGTTTGGCTTAGTTTCAGTTTATTTTGAAGGGTGGCCAGATTTTAAATATAATGGCTCCCCGACAGTCTTGCCCCTTTCTCTTAGGGCGCTAAGTAGGAAAGTGGAAAAGAAAAAAAACTGAAGGGAGAATTTAACCATGCTTTCAAATTTCAACCAATACAGAAATGTAATATATCAAAACTACATGCACCTAGTCTTTTTCTGTAAGTCACTCTCCTAACTTCGACTGAAGTGAAATGCAACAGCTTAAAGCCATTTTGCATTCAGCTAATGTTGGCCCTGCTCTCATAGCCAAATTCCAGGTTTCTCACCTGTAAAATGTGACACCATCAGCCCTCTTCAGCTCATGGCTTGATTACAAAGATAAAAAGAAGACAGTTTTTGTTTTGTTTTTAAAGGGAGCCTATATAAAGGCACAAAAAATATTTCAATTCCAACAGAAGTCTGGATGATCTGTTCTCCTATTTTCATATTTCCCTTTTTTTGCCAATTCTATACTTATATCAAATACTGCACACCATCTCTTGCTCTTTTTGTGATAAAAATAAGAACTAGCATTCAAAATCTTCCATCTAGTTTATGGTGGCCTGTAGCTACATTTCCCCGTCATTTCAGGGAGGGAGAGCACCACCCTCCCCCAGCGGAAAGTGCAACTAACTGGAAGTTCTGATGTTAGTGAGCAGGGGAGCACAGCCAAGTGCGGAAAGCATACAATGTTTCAAATGTAAACGACTATGATTAGCCAGTGAGTCATGCAGAGGAAGCAAGAACCAGACTTACAACACAAAAGGTGCTCGACTTTCAGAAATAGCTTTGGTTCAGTAGAAGAGAAACCATCACACAGAACAGCCAAGTGGACCGAGAGAGATGTTTACTGCCTCCTCTTCCTTTTCTCAAATCTTAATGATAAAGAAAGCCTTCCCTTCCCTTGGCACATCTTTGTTATAAAAATGTCTATCTGCTTTTCTACTGTGGACTTCCTGAGCTCCTTTCTAGAGTTACTTTGTATACCAGTTAACATTCTAACAAAGGTCTAACATTATATCCCTGGTGGGTTACTAAACAGAAAAATAATAGTGCTCCGGAACCAGAAAGGAATGAGCCAAAGTGTTAATTACTAGGCAGGTCTCTTTCCTAGGTTTTGGACAGTTTGTTACAGGGAGGGTTCCCCAGCCTTGCCAGCTTTGCCTCTTGTTAAATTCTTCCCGGCACTCTGTATGTTTGGATCTAGCTTCAACATGCATTCCAATACCAGACCCTACAAAAACTAATAAAGTGCAAATAGATTCTGGCACCCATTTTATCTGATTTGTCCACACTCTTCTAGACAGTAGTTATGCAGACTGGGGGTGGGGGACAGGAAGCAAAGGCAATCCAGTATTGTAGCCAGTAAAGGAATCCACGGCCGGAATTTTAAATTTACTGACTGTGTATTTAAAAGGACCTGCTTATTCTAACCTCTGAAACGGACATCTTATTTTGATTTTCTTAGCTGCTCTAAAAGAAAAAAAAATACAGTTCTTTATCTATAAATAGATTTATAAAAAGCAACTATGATAGATGTCAGAAGTAACAAACTAGATTCAGGTTTGGGAAAGATTCACTGTAGACATACACTATAAATTATCAGGGAACCAACCACTCCCTCCAACATCCTTGCAGAATCAGGAACCACTGATCTAGTTGTTTCCGACCTTAATTTGTGTGCCTGGCCTGCTAGTGTATTTCTCTTTAAATCTCAGCTGCTTCTAAGTGCCTAGGAAATAGACATGCATGCTACCACCATGAATGTTTAGGGATAGAGGGCATGTTTATTTTAAGCTATTGGATTTTACTGTTGTGTCATTTTCTTTTTTAATCAGATTTTTAAATCAGTATATAACAATCTCTAAATGTGTGATAATCTGCACTGAGATTTTAAAATTTTTCTAATAAAATCATATGGAAGAATAATCTTTCTCTTTACATATCTGACTTCAAAGGTTTCCCCAATTCTGAAGTGTGATTTTATCTTAGAATTTGTTTTTCCCCAAAGAAACAATTTTCTTATTCCTTGAGAAAAGCAGAGATGAGGAAAACATTCTGTCGACAGAGGTGCATCTGATGGTTGCTTTTTTCTGGGGTGAAAGTAGAGATGACTTCAGCATTCTTGATCAAACCAATTTGTAAACAAAGCAGTAAAAAATTCTATGTATTTTCAATGAAAGGCATTATTTCTGAAAGGTGACCAGGCCCTTGGCAAGGAAAAAAAAAACAAGTGCATGCAAATTAGAAAACAAAGAACAAAGAGCCTACCTTTTGAACCTGATAGATCTACAGAGAAGGGCAAAAGAAACAGGAAAAGAAATATGAAATCTAATTACAGAAGTAGTTACATCAGAAAGATAGGTTCTCTAAGTCTCCGGAAATGTGAAGAAAAGCCATACTGGGAAAAAACCCAACATTGAATACTAGTAGAACACGAAAAATGTTTGAAGTCTCAATGAAAGAATTATTAATTTCCTAACTCATTTTACATTCTATTTTAGATACAATGGTGAAACCTGGGCACACACACATGGGGTCCCTGCAAGAATCCTGGTATGATTCCACTGCACGGGTCCATGTGACCCATTACCAGCAGTGGTCCGTGTAACCCATTAAAAGCACTTCATCTTCAATTCGAAATTTCTTTCCACAGTGATAAAAGTTCCACTAGAAAGTAAAGACACAGAATTGGAAAATCAACTGGTCAAGTTCACATATAGGGAAGGAAGATGCTTTCCTGTTCTGATTCATGCAGGTACAAACAATGCCAGGAAAATGACAGGTAAAGAAAAACCAATCACTAGAATAGAATTGAAATATTTTTTTTAAAAAGCGGATTATTGCACACTGACACATTCATTTGCTTCAGATGTTTCTCCTAATTGTGTAGTAATCACTAGGTAAGACAGATTTCAGACTCATTCATAGAACAAAACATTTGCTGAGTCAGGCTTTATTCAAGGCACTGTCAACGCTTGGCATTTCTAGTCTTACACAGGTGGCACAGGTGAGTATATTCAACATTATGACCATATGACACACAGTACTCTCCATAAAAATGTTTATCAAGTCAGTAGCAATGAAAGAGATGCATCCTGTTCATCATACTGGCTGGTCATCTATTACCATTTTGTTTCTGTTAGTGGAGGTCCTCATCTGAAGTAAAAGGTTCACTCAGAATTCCCAAAGAATATCTACATATTATTCTTCCCTAATGAATCCATTCAAAAGGAGCTCATAATCCTTTTAAACAGTCCCACAGCACAGCGAACATAGGTCATAGTCGGGTCTCAATCTGCACAGAGAAGAACCACGATGGAGAGAGCTAGGGGGCCGCCACGGGAGGGCTGGGCGGGCCTGGGTGGTCCAGGTAAATCCACAGCCAGGCCACAAGCCCCGCATCCTCAGGGTCTGTGGGCCTCGAGGTCAGATCTACGCTCCAGCGTGATATCTGCTTGCTCCCCTCACCCCTCTGTGCACTCTCCATGCCCAACTTGGGGTATCCCAGGCACTAGTGTGGTTCCAACCACAATCCACCTCCAAAACCCCCAACCTTTGTCACTGGCTTCCTGCTTCCTGGCCCCCAAGGACAGTCGCCCCTCCTCCTCCAAGGAGTCAAGGCTCTGTCCACCGTCCCTGGATCTGAGCTCCCTCTCCAGGAAAGCCTCGCCCCTGCTCAGAAACACCTGTGTAGAGGTGGATGGCTTGCCACCAGATGAAAACAGAGATCGTGTTTCTCAATTTTCTTACACCAAAATATCAACCCTACTAGTTAAACACTGGCCTTCCAAAGCATATTCATTTCCACTTAATCAACAACTTAAAATGCCAATGGCTGGGGCTATCAGATTGTATAACCTCAAATTGCGTTAGCTAGTTCTAATAAAAGCCGGCCAGGCCCAGAGATATGATATGCCAAGGGCGGGCTGAGAGAAGTGTTGTCTGTACACCTTTCTAAATCCTTAGACCCTGCTAGCTTGTCTCGCTTCCCCCTCTAGAGGTAGACACAAATGCTCACGTGTGCACATGTGTGCACACAGGTACAGTGCCCCCCTCCGGACTTGGCTCACATCAAGAAAGAGCTAGATGAACAGCTAAAGCTTCCGTGTTCTTGCTAACCAAGCTGCCTATTCTGTGTTTACTATACTGTGCTTCCAAGGCCACACCAGTGGAAAAACTGGTTTCCCGGGGTATGCTTCTGCTTGTAAAATGACTGGGATTATGTGCATCTTCTCTTTTCCCCTCTGCTGTGGGTGCCAGCCAGCTCCCAGACAACCGGAATCCCAGAGACTCCGCCCTGGGTTTTTCTTGTTAATTACATATTTGTCTTTGGAGGTAGAGGGCACACTAGGAGGACCACACTTTGCAGCCGTCAGGCCTACATGTGAATCTGGGCTCGCCCATTTCTTAGCTGTAGGGATAACTGTGCACTTTCCTCACCTGTAAGTCAAACTCGGGCAGAGTCCCTCACAGACTGTGACAGCACCCAGGTGTGCTGCTGCCCTGGACCAGGGGCTCTAGGACATCCCTGTGGTTCCCCTCTGCCCCACCTCAGCTCTCTTCGACTAGCAATAAAATATACATCTATTTTAATTTAAACCTTTCAAATCCCCCCCTTTTTTTGAAGCAGCAGATAAACTTTAAATATCAATGCTTTCATATTTCAAAGACCCTAAATTTCTGCTAGCAAGATCATTTGGATGGTTCAGTGCTGCTGCTGAGCCAACCAGATCAGTATAAACTGCAGGACAGACTGGGGCAGGGTGTGGGGGGGCTCCCTCCATGCTTCATCCCTTCCTTGACCTGGCTGTGCTTGTGTTCTGCCTTAGCCCACATGCCACTCCTTCACTCAGCATCCCAACAGGCTGTGTGGACCAGGGTTAGTTTCTCTGCTGACTCCCTGACACATACAGATTATCACTGCGCACACTAATAAATCACACCATGGGAGCTGGTCATCAGGCATGTGACTGACCCCGAATAAGAGTCTGAGGTGAGCAGAGAAGGAACTGTAGAGGTGCCTCCGCTAACTCACTGCCAGTTTGTGGGATCACAGAGGGAGGAGGGTGAGATCACTCAGGGAGCAGGGTGAGCACAGGTGGTCTGTGGGATCACACAGGGAGCAGGGTGGGATCACACAGGGAGCAGGGTGGGATCACCCAGGGAGGAGGGTGAGATCACCCAGGGAGGAGGGTGGGATCACCCAGGGAGTAGGGTGAGCACAGGTGAATGGTCTGTGGGATCACCCAGGGAGGAGGGTGAGATCACCCAGGGAAGAAGGTGAGATCACCCAGGGAGGAGGGTGGGATCACACAGGGAGCAGGGTGAGATCACCCAGGGAGGAGGGTGAGATCACCCAGGGAGGAGGGTGGGATCACCCAGGGAGCAGGGTGAGATCACACAGGGAGCAGGGTGAGCACAGGTGAATGGTCTGTGGGATCACCCAGGGAGGAGGATGAGATCACAGAGGGAGGAGGGTGAGATCATACCGGGAAGAGAAATTAAGAAACTGGTGTTCACCAGAGGTACCTTCTCACAGGCAAAGCCAAGCTTTCCTGCTGGCCCCTCAGAACTCAAACCCACTCGTTGTGGAAACCCGCTCCCGCGTCTGCAAGCCCCTCTGTGGTATAGCTGAACGCTGACGGGACCCCAATGACCACCTGCTTTTGTGTGAGACGTTCCTTGGAATTCAACTCAAGATACAACATCTGATTCCCAGGAACCACTTCAACGTCTTGACAATAGACGTGAAACATGTGGTTAAAACGGAAAATGTCACAATTCTAATATGTGTATGACCTCGGAGGCCAACCGTGGCGTTTTTGATCAGATCCCTGGTTTTAATCAGCTTTTCTCTGCAAAGCTGAGCTCCTCGGCCAGCACCAAATGCCAGGGACGGGCTGTGCTGCCCGGGAGCGGGGCTCTGCCAGCGCACAGGCCCAGGTTCAAATGCCCTGGGGCGGGAGCCGGGGGGCTCCCCTGCCCCGTGTGCCCAGTGGGGGCTTCCTGGCCTCGTGAGGCTGCTGTGAGGGGCAGTGGGAGCCAAAGGGAGCAGGGGGGGCTTTGCTTCTAAAGGAGGCCACTCAAACAGTCATTTTCGTGGCTCAATTCTTCACTTTCGTTTTCTAAACCGAGAACTTTTGCTAAAGGACTTTGTGAATGATAAGCCACTTATGTTATCAAGCATGTATTTAAATCAGCTCCACCCGTCATTAAGGACAGGCCATAGTTAATCTAAACACATAATTTGGAAAACAGATGTGTATATACATACCGCATAATTCATTCTTGTCTTGGTTTTGTAGAAATTTCACATCGTACTCTTGGTGAGTGTAAGTTTCTCTTACACTGGAGGACGATGATAAAATTACGATTACTAACACCATCCTGAGTGCCCAAGGCAGGGCCCCCTGGCCTCACCGTCCCCCCTCTGCCCGGGGCCGGCCCGACGGCTCCAGCAGCGGGCCCAGATGCAGCCACAGGCCTCCAGAGACATCAACGCTGCTGGGATTCGGTCAACTGTGGAGAAGCTGGTAGAGCAGGAACACGTGTTGGGAAGTTCTCCCTACAAAGCTTTTACGACCTTAATATACCAAGGAACTGGGGGCCTGTTGCAGAACCAGGAGAGCGGATTAAAACTGAATGAGCCCCAAGAGGGCAGTGGCCGTGGGCCCCTGACGGTGGTGCAGCCTGCAAGGCAGAGTTCGTGGCCCAGGCCGTGGCCAACTTACCGCCCCACTGCCGTGCTCCTTTCTAAAGCGGTGCGGGGGGCAGCAGCGTCCTGCACACAGTGGGTGTGCAAGTATCTGCTGAACGAACAGAAATATTCTAACGGGAAACAGACACCAGGCAGTTTGAAAAAAGCATCTGAAAAAGGAAAAATATCTATTTTTAAAAACCAGTTTAGGCTAAAAGAACTTTTCCATTGGGTGGCCTCTAGTTACTATTAATACCAGCATCTGATTTTGCAGAAGCTGCCTGGTGTCGGGGGGGGGCTCCTCCAGCATGGTGACAGGGTCTCAGACAGGTACATGACAAAGTCTACAAGCAACCAGATCTATACTTTTTCTCGACCTCCCGTTCAGATACTTCTCTCCAGAAATGTTCTGGAAATGCGTCTTTGAATGATCTTCGACCATCGCTCCTGGTGAGACGCGTCCCCTAAGTTGGTGGATGGGTATCCATCAGGCCCCCATCCCGACTGGGGCCGAACCTCACCCTTAAGTGAGGTGACAGGAAGGGGTGCTTCACGGTAGTCATCAGTGCAACGGGCGAGTCCAAATCACCCACGTGAAAATTCCAGAGTGCCTATTTCCAGTTTTAAAATGACAACTGTGATTCTCAGGGGGAAGGCACTGGGAAAATGCCAAACCCGTGCTTTGCATAAATTAAGAGAAAAAGTACAAGAAATCAAAGCAGAAGTAATTCTACAGGCAGAATATCTTAGAAACTAGACTTAGTTCCGACTGTGTTTGTATTTCTAACGAGGGGGGAGGACATGGTGAATTACCTTCAAATATTTGTTTAGGCTTTACCCACGTTGTAAACACAGGATGAGTAATACCTAAAGCATTGTTGCAGGGTGGCAGCTTGCTCATCTGCTTGAGTCGCTTCCCAGGCACCGCTGGAACGTGGTGTGGTCCTTCTCTTGGAAACCACGTCCCCCCATGTCCCCATCACCGGGGGGCTCCCTCGGGGGCTCCCCTGCCCTCCCACCACTGGGCCTGTGGTTTGACTCTCCTAAGCAACATCCTGGCCTGGAGCTTCTAGCAATCTTCAATCCATTCTTCAAACCCCATGGAAGAGGTTTCTTCCCCAGATTTGAATCTGGTCATGCCCCTTCCCTGCATGAACCTGCCCACCATGTGATGTGGTACCCCTCCACACGCAGGGAGTGGGAAGGAGCACGTCAGGCCGGGCCTCCCCCTACGGGGAATGTGAGGGCGTGCGCTGGAACCTGCAAGGATTTGAAGAGAAACTGGAAACGTAGGTTTTTATCGGAAATCTCACATGCTTTAAGACACTGGCTCAGCTTTAAAATTCTGGCTATGTGAAATCAGCCCTAGGAAAAGCACCTGGCTGCCTCTCTCTGGCTCAATAAATCCAAATGTTCTGAACAAGAAACGCCCTCAAGTGGGGTCTGGTGTGGATGCTCCAGCAGGGTGTGGCCCACAGAGAACACAGGTCTGGTAGATGGGGACTTGCTTCCTCTACCACCCTGACTTCAAGGTCACAGAAAAGCTCACTGCTCTAACCACAAGTTCAAGAGTCCTCGTGCTGTCCATATGACCTCGGCTCGAGCTCGAGATTATGAAAATAAATCGCAAATAACATTAACAGGTGTGTAAGCCCATGCCTGTCCACTTTCCCCGGGGTGGGGGAGGGGCAGTTTCTTCCCTAACTATTCCACCATGGTGTATATTCTGTTTTCTGCATCACACGTGGGTTTCAGGCATCATGAAACTTATTAAAACAGGTAAAAGCCACACACAGGAGAAATATTTGTAAACAAAATAGTTTGGTGAGTTTAAAAAAGTAATATTCTGTCCTTTCACATTTTAACTCAGAGGCTCGATATTCTAGCTGGACAGTTGGGACCTTGAGGTTCAGAACCAGCACCTCTTGGCTCCTTTCAGCCACAAGGCTGGGCTGGACGTATGCAGGCAAGTGGCCGTGCGGGAGGCTGTCTCAGGATCTGGCAGGTTGAGGACTGGGACAGGCACTCCTGGTATCCGTGTTATGTGCACTCCCCGGCCTGACCTGGAACCAAAGTCACAGGCACGGTGCATTCCGATCATGAGCAACGTCAAGCAGACAGGTGCGTCAATAGCAACAGGTGTCTCTGCACTTGCATGCTCTACCGAAAATAAAAATGCCTGTGAAAGGAACCAACGCAGAACTTCAAGTGTTACCTCCTTCTGCTGCCGCTCCAGCTCCTTCATTCGGATCTCTCGAGCCTCGGCGCGGGCTGCCCGCTTCGCAGCGAGCCTCGCCTCCGCCTGAAACAGATGGGAGATTTCATGAGAAGACAGACCAGTGGCTCGTTTCGTGTGAACAGTGAGGCTGTTAGTAAGAGACTTTGTTCGGGGTTTAATAAATATACAATAACACATCGCAGACTCATATGAGTTAAAGGTCATCAGGAATGACAGTAGCAGTGGTTACAGTAATAAGGATCCCTACTGTTTATGGAGCCCTTACTAAATGCCAAGCAGGCACAGGTTTGTTTTCTTTTTAAATATTTTATTTATTTGAGAGAGCAAGACAGAGTACAAGCGGGGGGAAGGGGCAGAGGGAGAGGGAGAAGAAGACTCCCCACTAATCAGGGAGCCTGAGATGGGGTGATCCCAGAACCCTGAGACCATGACCTGAGCAGAAGGCAGATGCTTCACCAACTGAGTCACGCAGGCGCCCCTAAGTGGGCACAGTTCTAAGGACTTTATATATATTGTGCCATATACCCCTTGCAACAGCCCTATTAGGTAGACACTATTCCCATCCCCAGTTTACAGAGGCGGGAACTATGGCACAGAGAGGGTACATAACTTGACCAAGGTCATACAGCCTGTAAGTGGCAAGGCTGGGCGGTGTGCCTTCCTCTGGAGCTACAACAGACAACTGCCCGGGGCAAAGCATTAGAGCTGGTTCAACCCCTCCCTTTTACAGAGCAGGGCACAGGGCTGAGACTCTGAGGCTGTTTTCCAAAACTCCTGTCTAGTCACCTCTCAGGACGCCCTGCTGCCCTCAGCTCCCCTCTCAAACACCTGCAGTGCTGGGCAGCTTGTCTTTCCTCAAGACAAGTTAAGACCAGAGCAGGACGGTCAGTGACACCTAGCTATTAGAAGCATTACATTAAAACAAAACAAACCAAACCATCTCCATGCAACTCTTTATCAACTTGGATAGCTATTTAGCCAAACTACTGAAGACCACTTAAAATGTTGGACCAGGGCTGACCTGCGCCCTTCAACCTGTCACTCAAACACTACTTCCCGCTTCACAGATCCTCTGTCTATTCACTATTTCAGCCGACACAGCACACGGCTCAGTGAGGACCTGGTGCAGGTGTACCCAGATTCGGGTTTTCTGGTGTCAAGCAAATGCCACCTTCTTCCCACCGTTTTTTTTGGGGAATGAATACACTTGTAATTCTTCCACCGACAGTTCTGTAGATACAGTTTCAGGTGTTAAAGCAGGGCCATGAGAAGTGTGGCCAGTGGTCCAGCAAGCAGGTGGTGGCCCAAATGTCATCGCCCAGCTTCTCCCACAGGACCAGGCTCCCATCAGGGGGGCGGGGCCTGGGGTCAAGGATGTCCATGTCCCCCATGCCATACTTGTACTGACTTACAAATTTATCTTCTGTCCAAATTCGAACCTAGGGTGAAAACTGACCGTAGCTGATGTGTCAGAGATTGGCTGGTGTGTGGCCTTATAAGGAATTTCTTCTGTAACTTGGTTCACTCGTGTGGTTCCTTTAACAACCCAAGCCCAGGTCCCTCAAGTCAGGGGCGGGGGGGGGGGTGTCAAATATCACAACTGCCTCAGAACATTGATACCTTGGTGCCATTTCCAATTTTCTAAACCATGTTACACTGTGTGAAGGGCCACTCGGGGTCTATAAAAAGATCCAGCAAAGCTCATGGGGAGGGGAAGGGAAGGTTAGTTTGGTATCTGGCCATGATGAAATGCTACAGTCCCATGGCCGGGCCAGCAAGACGACTAGGTTCACCCTGAGTGCAGCCTGCTTCCCTGCCTTCCTGCGGGGAGGCCGGGGCTCCCTGCCTGCCAGCTCTGGGGCTGTGTCTAAGCTGGTACAGACCAGGCCACCATAGCCTCCAGCTTGGGACCGGAGCGGGGCGGGGGGGGGGCATGCAGGTGGGCGAAGGCCAGGGGTGGAGCGGGAATGTGAGAAACAGGAAAGGGAACAGAAGAAGGGAGGGCTGCCAGGGGGGACACAGGCAGAGAGGAGTGTGGCAGGCCCGATTCTCAGGCGGTCCCCAAGATTCCTGCCCTGGTGCACTTGCTCCACATAATCCTCTCCCCTTGAGTGTGGGCAGCACTGTGAGTAGGAAAGATGCCCCTCCTGTGACTGGGTTTCGTCGCATGGCAAAGAGAAACGCAAAAATAATTAAGGTCCCTCATTAGCTGACTCAATCAAAAGATAGATTATCCTGGGTGGGCCTCACCTAATCAGGCGAGGCCTTTAAAAGAGGGTCTGGAAGTCAGACTCTCCTGCTGGCCTGGAGAGAGCAGGGTGGCCTGTGTGAGAGGACCACATCAGGGGCCACGTGACAAGGACCAGCTGGTGGGCTGTAAGAGCCACGAGCGACCCTGGTAGACAGCCAGTGGGAAAATGGGACCTTGGTTTTGCAACAATAAGGAGCTAAATTGTGCCTATGACCCTGTGAGCTCGAGAGGACCTCAGGCTCCAGAAAGGCCCACAGCCCGTGCGACCGTGAGCAGAGGAGCCAGTAAGCTGTGCCCAGAACTGTGACCACAGAGCCTAATAGGATAAATGTGTGCTGTTTTAGGTTTCCGGATATTTGGGATATTTGTTTACAGAGCAAGAGATAACAAGATAAGGAGGTGGGGTCGGCTTGCACAGGGTTAGTGTCTCTGAGCTGCGGAGGATCTGAGCACTTATACACGCATCCTGACCCACCCTACTCTCATCTAGCTCTGCTTGGGATTGGACCAAAGGGCCCTCAAGAGACCACCTACGTGAACATGCAGTCCCTGACCCCTGGCGCGACCTCCCCACCAGATGGGCAGGCCTCCAAAATAACATCCCATCAGACCACACAGCTACCCCTGTGGGCCTCCCTGCACCCAGGAAAAGGCTCCCGTCATGGCCCGCCCACTCCTGTGGGCCTCAGGTCCAACCCAGGAAGTCTGTCCTGGCTATAAGAGGACAATGGCGCCAACAGACTAAACCCCACCAGCTCCCAATTTGAGGGACCCGGGCCTGGGATGATAAAAAGGAACCATGTGAATGAACCAAGTCATAGAGTAAATTCCTTATGAGGACGCATCAGCCAGCCTCAAAGACACATCAACTGTAATCAATCGACCTCAGATTAGAATTCAGAAAGGGGAGAAATTTTTTTTCTTTCTTAAAGATTTTATTTATTTATTTGAGAGAGAGAGAATGAGAGAGAGCACGAGAGGGAAGAGGGTCAGAGGGAGAAGCAGACTCCCCGCTGAGCGGGGAGCCCGATGTGGGACTCGATCCCGGGACTCCAGGATCATGACCTGAGCCGAAGGCAGTCACTTAACCAACTGAGCCACCCAGGCGCCCAGGGGAGAAATTTCTAATTTAGTACAATTTCAAACCCTTGCAATTGCCACCTTATGAAACACCTTCCTCTTTTAGGATTCACATGGGACTCATAGGCAGGAAGCAAGATGCCCGTGATATAGGAAGTGGTAACAATCATGCTCGCTTCTGGGAATCTGGCAAATTAAAAACCAACAGACATAGAGGCCAACATTTAAACCGGTCCAGAAACTCTGCACACCCAACTTTGTGAGCACAAGACTAGACCAGCATCATAAGCCTGGCCCTGGCCTGAGATGCCTGAAGGAAAAACTAGAGAGTTCTGACAACACAATTCACCCTAAAACAATGACATTGTCAAGAACACCGGAGAGCCTGACCCAGAGCCTAAGAGACAGTGATCACCCAAATGATCCTTGCAAAGTCACCAGAAAAAAATCTGTTTGATCAAGTCATTAAATGAACAAAAACTACAAAATAGCTCTGGTCCACCACAGTGAGAAGCAAACACGAATTCATTCCCCTGCAGCATTTCCTGGGAGGCCCAGCCCTGCCCTCCCATCACCCCAGGCCAGGTCAAGGCTCTCTCTTGGCCTCCCTGTGTCTCGGGCCAATGCTTCTATGTACCGGACAAACCCATCACCACCCACCACTTTTGTGAAATACAAACTCACATTCTTGAGGTCACAGCCATGTCAGTTTGTAGGAGAGTTTCCAAATGCTTACTTTCACTTCTGTACTTAGCTGGTGGGGACTGCAGCTCTTGGTTATCACCAGCCCAGGCCCACCCAACCTTGCCGCACCTTCAGACATGGCCAGGGAAGGACCTGCAGACCGCGGTGGGGGTCCCCAGTCTCCGGAGGAGAGAGCCAGGGCTGGAGAGTATAGTGATGGGGGGGTGGGGATGTGGGACAAGGTGGAGAAGCCTGAGGGCCTGGGGTGCAGACCCTAGCTCTCAGGCCCTGTATCTGGAAGCTTATCCTGAAGGAATGTGAAGCCACTGGAGGGTTTTATAAAGGGACACAGTGGGGTTGACCTCTGAGAACCACCGTTCTGGCTGAAGTGTGGGGAACGAGAAGGTGCTGAGTGAGTCTGTATGGAATCCAGGAAGCAAGCCCGTGAACGTGAACAGGTGGGATGAAGCAAAGTGGGGCGGCCAGAGGGCACTGGAAAGGGTGCCAGGAGCCCAAGGTCCTGAGGAGAGCCCGTGTGCTCCAGCAGCCAGAGAACCCTGGTGAAGCATCCCCACGTACCACAGCCGGACGCTTGTGATGCGCAGGGTGCTGCCCCAAACCTGGACGTGCCGAGCACCCAGCCTGCTGACCCCAGCACGCCTCCAGGGCCTGCGTGGGTCTCAGAGTCGGGGTGTGCCGCTACCTCGATACCCCCAAACTCCCAAACTCAAGGGAGATGACAATGGTCCATCGAAGCTGGAAGGACGAACGGAAGGGACGGAGAAAAGAAGGGGATGGGTTTATGGAATTTAGGACAGAAAGTACAAATGGCACAGGGGTTCAGGAAAGCAAGCTTGGAAAACAAGACGGCGCACCCCTGCCCAGTGAGCGGTCTGCTCCATCATTCTTCAGCCCCCAGGGAGCTTCTTGGCTGCTCCCAAGTGACCTGCGGCCAAGCTCGTTCTGTGACCTCAGGGCACCTGCTGGGGCAGCAGCAGGGCAAGCTGGCTGGGCCCCTCCTCCTGGGTCCTGGGCGGCCCTCTTCCCT